AATTACAAGAAAGCCACCAAAAAGCCACAATATGAGAGGTTTTCTTAAAGTGTGCTGCTTGTTTAACTGTGTTTAATGCACCTACAAAACTGTAGCTCCATTGTTTGGACCATATTCTATATCATGTTTCCCACTTCATGCCTGCTTCCATGATATGAAGCAGACCTTGACCTCACCCTCCATCTGTGTCCAATGTGAATTTATACCTGGCTGTTTCTTTCCATCCCCCGTACATATCATTTCAGTGCTGCTGGGGACATTTCACTGCAGCTTCTCAGTCTGCCTCCTGCTGCCAAGATTTCTCCCATTTCTTGTCTCCATCCTTCTTGTCCACCTCCTACACTGATCTCCTCATGCTCTCTCTTCTAGGTCCTGGTTTCCTGGCCTGCTGTGGCCAGGGTCCTTCCTCACATCTTTGCCTGCTGTAAGCTGTCATACTGAACCCAGGCTCCCCCCAAGAAAGCTGTACACCAAATGGCTGTCTTAGCACAATTTTACTTCAGCCATATCAAAACCAACAGAAAATAGCGGCAATCCTTCTATGCAGCTAAGTTGCTGCTTAGATGTATAGCTGATAATATGAAGCTGAGGCTATACATAACCTGCACAAAGCTTCACGTTTGAAAGTATAAAGCTGAAATTCATAAGAAGCATTGAGCACCTTTGTGCAATTACAATAAAAGTGCAAGCTGGCAGGTACATTGTATCTGCTAAATGATGAGGAATCAGTGAAGTGTTCTTGGTGGGCTACATGGGACTGATTCAAGACAGGATCAAGACATTAAGGAATGTCCAGGGCCCAAAAGCCTCTAGAAAATCTGGAAAAAAAAAGTTTGGCCAGGAAATCAGAGAAAACATTTGTGCAGAGTAAAAGAAATAAGCTTGACAGGGAAGGAGAATGGGACGAATAGATCTCTTGGCTATTTTGCTGTGAAAGCTCATAAGTCGAGGTTACAAACACAGTTTTGTTTTTGTCTGCTCATAGTCTTTGTACCCCAGATGTGGTAGCTGAATTGCTAATTTATTTTTCCGCTGAGGGGGAATCAGAAGTAAAAGTTTCATCTCTCTCTCTGTAAGGACAAACGCCTGTTTTTTGGCTGACACAGAGAGCAAGATACTGAACTAAGCTCCTTCCAACTTAATCAAACACAGAAAGAACATAATTTGCCTGCTGTGAAACAAAAGAAAATAAATAACACCATAGATTCTATCTGGAGATATCGTCTCGCTATACCCCTCTGCTATTTGCTTTGGTTTCCAATTATCCTGTTTCTCAGAGGAATGCTTTGCAGCAATGGTTATATCCAGCCTTCCTGTGCTAGTTACAGAACAGTCCCTATTTCCAACCACAGTTGTCAGGCATTTATAATACAGCTGCAAAAACTCTCTTGCAGTTGAACTGTAGGAAAGAAGGTATCTAAGGAGGGCAAAAATATTTCAATTTTAAATAGAAAAGGCTTCTGTTCGTGGTATAGTCAGTTATGTCTAGATCTTAAAAATTTCATGCTATTACCCAAAAATGAAAGGATTCTTTTTTTATATGTCACATAACTGCTCAAGTCACCAGCTTAGTCTCTTTTAGTGGCCCTATGTGTATAAAGTCTTCTGTAAAATGCCAAGATGGCTGCAAAATCTGGGCTGATTCTGAAAATTGCATTTTAGTGCTCATTTGTGAATAATCTTTGTTTATCTGAATAGTCATGATCTGTGTCTTGCCTGAAAGGCCAAAGGGATAGCAACAGTAGAATGCTATGGGATCTGTCAGAGTAAAAGACTCAGCGTGACTTTCCTATTAGTAGACTACATCTTTCATAGTGCATTTTAACAAAATTACCTTTGAAAAATCCAGACAAGCAGGTTTTTTACAAGAAATGAAATAGAAATATTGTTTTAGTGTTGTCATGGTTATCTTGGTCATCTGCTTCTCTAATATTTACTTCTAGAAACTGATCTGAATTTAGGAGTGCAAAGAAATACTTCTGTTCCAAAACAAGCCTCTTTGTATTTCATATCAAAAAACCCCAACCCCACAACTAGTGAATAAAGTAGTAACCACCATTAAATACAAACGGTGCTTGTGAATATTGGATGAATGAGTCACTGAGTCATCTTGATACAGTTCTTTGAAGTAAATGGCATAGCCTTGATACAAGGTGGTGGCATCTCTAAAAACTGCAATGACTTGACTTTTTCTGATACTGCAGCACTTATGCTGTGTCACACCATTTTTTTGCAGTAGCAATAAAGCCTTTGACTCTTTCATGGTGGTCATTTGTTATCTGCACATAGTCAAATCTGAAGCTGCAGGCGTTTGAACACGACTGTGTATGAAGCTGGAAACAAGTAAAGCTTTGCACTTAATCTGCTTTTTATTTTTTTCCTTCTGCTCAGTGGACAGCTGTCTTTGACTAGAAATCACTTTGTTATTTCAGGTTCCTAGCAACTATTTTGGACCTTTCTGAAATCACTCTGCAGACAATTCTTTTTGACCAGCTCATTGGTATAATCTTGGTATATCAATAGATTAAACTAATAATCCCCATCTTTCATATAATCAGTGTGATAAACTGCTAGATTAAAACACTGCCAAGGCTCAGACTTTATTTCTGGGTTTGTGGCTGTAGCAGATTGTTGTTCCCCGGGCTGCTGCACAACTGAGGGCACTGCAGGGGATGGACAGGCTGTCAGGAGGGGGAGAGGCACACATGCCTGTGGATGCAACAGGTCCTGCTTCGTTTCACAACGCGATGCTCACCAGGGCTTGTATCCCTTCAGATTGTGGGCTTATGCATCCTTCTAAATTCAGCTAAGGCTGTTCTAAGCTGGCCAAAGCTATACGCGTATGTGTGCACACAAACACACAGAAATGAGCACAAACACATATAAGCGGGCTAATAACCAGATGAACTGGCTAACAACCAGGAATATGGAAAAAAATAAAAAAAAAGAGAATGAAAAAGAAGATGCCTGTGTGTAATTGTATGTAAAATTATATCAAAAAGCTAGGGGACTAGGGAACTTTCTCCATCCTTCTGGGGTAGGACTGCTGAGTACCAGGTACATTTCTCTACAAGAAGACATCAACTTAAGGAGTTTTGAGACCTAGCACAGGTTTCAATTTGCCTGGTTTATTTACAACGAAATGTTAACTAAGTTCAAAGGGAACAGTGGCTTCGCTTGCAAGTCTTCATAGCACCTTACGGTCTTAAACTATAACAAAATACCCTTCAGTCATCTCAGAACGGAAAGATGCCAGAATGGATTTAAGACACTCTGGTCAAAGGGTAATCGACCACCAACTAGCTGGTGGTTATGTCTCTAATTTCACATGTGGCAGGCTTAAGGCTGCTCTACTGTATATCAGTTATTTTTAGTACCCCTTGTCCTGCCTGATGGGTAGTGGCATAAGCTAGCCTCAGCCATACCCTCTTTGTGCACATAGCACACAGACGGTGGAATGCAGGGGAGAAAAAGGCATTAGCAGTTCGTATCTCGTCTGCATCACATGGTGGTACCTCTGTGATAAAAAAAAATGTAGAAAAACAGTGTTCTCTAAGTAATTAAGTTACTACACTTGCAAGGCAAGCCTCTTCACATTTGTGATTTTCAGTTACTCCATCTCTGAAACAGTTACATTGTTAGTGACCTATGTACATGCCTTGTGAACATGCTCAGTTAGAAAGTGCACAGCAGTTGTGTTAATGGCTTAACTCGCTACTGGAGGATTCAGAAAAATCCCCCTGTGAGTCAGGGCAGGTGTGTCAACACCTATCATACAATTCTTTCCCAATGCCCAGCAATGAGGGGTTTTCTGAAGGTGTTTATGGCAGATGAGCATTTCTCCGCCCTGCAACTCTGACCAGCAAACTTGTCCTGTGAAGCCATAGGCACCTGAGTACTCAGGAATAACTCAAATCAGTAGAAATTCATTTTCACCCTCCTGAGGCTCAGCAGCTATTTTATGTGGATCTGAGCTGAGGTCCAGACTGAGTGTTTGAACATCTGGATCATCTGAGAGCTGCCTTTACAGAGATATTATATATCCCCTTCTGGAATGTGTGTTTGTGTCTGTGCATTTATATAGGTTTATGTATATATACAAATACATATATATATAGCTATATGTACACACATGTAAGTATACATGTATGTATACGTATGTGTATAGGTGTGGTGGCAGAGCTGAAGGAGCAAGTGGAGAGGCTGAGGAGCATCAGGGAGTGTGAGAGCGAGATCGACTGGTGGAGCCGCTCCCTGCCCTCCCTGAGGACGAGGCAGCAGGAGGCGGCTCCACAAGAAGTGGAGAAACCCCTACCCTCTTGCCACCGAGCAGAAAGAGGGGACCTAAGAGGCAGAGGGGAATGGAAATGGGTCCCTGCTCGGGGTGGCAAGCGAATCCCCTCCCGGCCTCTCTCACCTCCGCAGTTGCCCTTAAGCAACAGATACGGGGCTCTGGAATGTGAGGCCCAGGCAAATGAAGATGTGGGTGAAGCTCCATCCACGGGGTTGCCTAGGATGTGTCAGACAGCCCCACGTATTACGACTGCCTCAGCTAAGAAAAACAGGAGGGTAATTGTCGTAGGCGATTTCCTTCTGAGGGGAACAGAGGGCCCGATCCATCCCACAGGGAAGTCTGCTGCCTCCCTGGGGCCCAGGTTAGGGATGTTGCTGGGAAGCTCCCTGGTCTGGTGTGGCCTTCTGATTATTACCTGCGGTTGGTAATGCAGGTTGGCGGGGACGAGATAGCAGAGAGAAGTCCCAAGGCCATCAGAAGGGACTTCAGGGCACTGGGGCAATTGTTTGAAGGATCAGGGGCACAGATGATGTTTTCCTCAGTCCTATCAGTGACAGGGAAGAACACTGAAAGGAATAGGAAAACACACCTGGCTGGTGGGGCTCTTTGAGAGGGCTTTAAACTAGGTTCGAAGGAGCAAGGGGATATAAACAGGCTCACTAGAGATGAGCTCAGGCATGGCATGCCGGGGTTGGGGGTGAGATCGATGGCCTGGCTCAAGTGCACCTACAACTATGCATGTAGCATGGGCAATAAACACGAGGAGCTGGAAGCCGCTGGACAGCAGGACAGCTATGACTTGATCGCCCACACAGAAACGTGGTGGGATGCCTCTCATGACTGGAGTGCTGCAGTGGACGGCTACAAGCTCTTCAGAAAGGCTAGGTGAGGAAAGAGATGGTGGGGTGGCTGTGTACATTAGGGACTGCTTCAATTGTATAGAGCTTGATGATTGTGATGACCAGGTTGAATACTTATGGGTAAAGATGAGGTGGAAAGCCAACAAGGCAGACATCTTGCTGAAAGTCTGTTATGGACCACTCAACCAGGATGAAGAGGTAGATGAATTTTTCTACAAGAGGCTGGCAGAAGTCTCACAATCTGTAGCCCTTGTTCTTGTGGGGGACTTTAACTTACTGGACATCTGCTGGAAATACAACACAGCAGAGAGGAAACAGTCTAGGAGATTCGTGGAGTGTGTGAAAGATAACTTCGTGATGCAGCTGATAAGTGAGCCTACCAGGGGAGGTGCCTTGCTAGACCTGCTGTTTACTAACAGAGGAGGACTGGTGGGAGGTGTGGTGGTAGGAGGCCATCTTGAGTTTAGCGACTGTGAAATGTCAGAGTTCTTAGTTCGTGATGAAGTTAAGAGGGGGGGCAGCAGCAAAACCACCACCATGGACTTTTGGAGGGCAGACTTTGGCCTGTTCAGGGCGCTGGTTGAGAGAGTCCCCTGGGAGAGAGTCCTGAAGGGCAAAGCAGTCCAGGAAGGCTGGGCATTCTTCAAGGAGGAAGTCTTATGGGCACAGGAGCAGGCTGTCCCCATGTGCTGCAAGACAAACCTGCGGGGAAGACGACCAGCCTGGCTGAATAGGGAGCTCTTGCTGGGACTCAGGAAAGAAAGGAGTGTCTACTACCTGTGGAAGAAAGGGCAGGTGACTCGAGAGGAGTACAGGGGTCACGTTAGGTTGTGCAGAGAGGAAACTCAAAAGGCAAAGGCCCAGATAGAACTCAGGTTGGCCATTGTTGTAAGGGATGACAAAAAATGTTTTTACAAGTACATGAACAACAAAAAGACGGCCAAGGAGAGTCTCCATCCCTTACTGGATGCAAGGGGGAATATTGCCAACAAGGATGAGGAAAAGGCTGAGGTACTTAATGACTTCTTTGCCTCAGTCCTTAGTAGTCAGACTGGTTATCCCCAGGGTGGTCAGCCCCCAGTGCTGGAAGATATGGAAGGAGAGCAGAATAAACCTCCCATAATCCAGAAGGAGGCAGTTAATGACCTGCTATGCCACCTCCACGCTTACAAGTCTATGGGGCCAGATGGGATCCACCCAAGAATGCTGAGGGAACCGACAGAGGAGCTGACCAAACCTCTCTCCATCATCTATCAGCAGTCCTGGCTAACAGGGGAGGTCCCAGGTGACAGGAGGATAGCCAACGTAACACCCATCTACAAGAAGGGCCAGAAGGAGGATCTTGGGAACTACAGGCCTGTCAGCCTGACCTCAGTGCTGGGCAAGATTATGGAGCAGTTCATCCTGAGTGCGCTCACCGGGCGTGTGAAGGACAACCATGGAATCAGGCCCAGCCAGCATGGGTTCATGAAAGGCAGGTCCTGCTTGACCAACCTGATCTCCTTCTATGACCAGGTGACCCACCTAGAGGATGAGGGAAAGGCTGTGGGTGTTGTCTACCTAGACTTTAATAAGTCCTTCGACACTGTTTCGCACACCATAGTCCTGGAGAAACTAGCTGCTCATGGTCTGGATGGGTGTACTCTCTACTGGATAAAGAACTGGCTAAATGGCTGAGTGCAGAGAGTGGTGGTGAATGGAGTTAAATCCAGCTGGTGGGCGGTCACGAGTGGTGTCCCCCAGAGCTCAGTTTTGGGTCCAGTCTTGTTTAACATCTTTATTAATGATCTGGATGAGGGGATTGAGTGCTCCCTCAGTAAGTTTGCAGATGACACCAAGCTGGGTGGGAGTGTCGATCTGCTCCAGGGTAGGAAGGCTCTGCAGAGAGATCTGGATGGGCTGGATTGATGGACCGAGGCCAGCTGAATGAGTTTCAACAAGGCCAAGTGCCGGGTCATGCACTTGGGTCACAACAACCACATGCAATGCTACAGGCTTGGGGAGGAGTGGCTGGAAAGCTGCCTCGCAGAAAAGGACTTGGGGTGCTGGTCGACAGCTGGCTGAACATGATCCAGCAGTGTGCCCAGGTGGCCAAGAAGGCCAACAACACCCTGGCTTGTATCAGCAATAGTGTGGCCAGCAGGAGTAGGGAGGTGATCATGCCCCTGTACTCAGCACTGGTGAGGCCGCACTTCTAGCACTGTGTTCATTTTTGGGCCCCTCACTGCAAGAAAGACATTGAGTTGCTGGAGCATGTCCAGAGAAGAGCAAAACAGCTGGTGAGGGGTCTAGAGAACAAGACTTACAAGGAGCTGCTGAGGGAACTGGGGTTGTTTAGTCTGGAGAAGAAGAGGCTGAGGGAAGACCTTATTGCTCTCTACAACTACCTAAAAGGAGGTTGTAGTGAGGCAGGTGTTGGTCTCTTCTCCCAGCAAGCTAGCGATAGGATGAGAGGCAATGGCCTCAAGTTGCGTCAGGGAAGGTTTAGGTTAGATGTTAGGAAAAATTTCTGTACTGAAAGAGTGATCAGACATTGGAACAGTCTGCCCAGGGAGGTGGTGAAGTCACCTTCCCTGGAGATGTTCAAAAAATGTGTAGATGTGGCACTTCAGGACGTGGTTTAGTAGGCATGGTGGTGTTGGGTTGACAGTCGGACTTGATGATCTTAGAGGTCTTTTCCAACCTATGATTCCGTGATTCTGTGATTCTGTACGTGGATGTGTATGTGTATATATGAGTGTCTACAGATGGGAGAGAGGAAGAGCTTAGGTTCTAAAGTCATATATTGGTGACCAAATATAAAATGCCTGTGCTGATCCTTGAAGTTACTTTCATAAAAATGTACATCCCAGCGTGAATGAAGAAACAGAGCTTGCCTTTGTGCATTATGCTGTGTTTTGAGAAACACTTCTGTGTCTATTGCTTGTTGTAGTCAGCTGCTCAAAGTATTTCACATGCCATAAATTGGAGATTTCTGATCCTTGCTGCACAACTTGTGAAAGCTATGTTCGTGAAGTGAGATCTTTGGGAGGATGATAATCAAGTATTCTTCTATGTTTGCTGCCGAGTTTAATTACTGCACATTTGCTTAAATGAGTCCAGGTGATTTGTTTCTTGCCATCTAAGTCTCATTAAGAAAAGAACAACTAATTAGAACCTCCTGTTTTTTTCATTCAGTTTTTCTTCCCAGTACTTGTGTAAAGGGACAAGAGGGAGTGAAGGAACCTGGAACTCGGAGAGAGCAAGGTACCCCACCTGTGTTTTCCAGTAGTAAATCACAGAATGGCAGGCTGAGGGAGGCTGGAAGGGTCCCTCAAGACAGGCTCGGTCACGGGCTCAGACTGGGCTGCTCAGGTTTCACCGAGCCAGGGCGTGAAACCCTGCAATGCAGGAGACAGCCCAATCTCCTCGGGCCGCAGCCCACTGCTGCACTGCCCTCATGGGGAAAAGGCATCTCCTGATCTCCAAGCCTGAGTTTCTCATGTTTCAGCTTGTGCCACTGCCTCTCAGCCTCCTGCCATGCACCCTGTGAAGAGCTCTGCTGTGTGTCCTCCATCCCTGCTATCAGTGCTGGGAATGCTGTTGGGTGCCCTTGAAGGCACCCCTCCTTCTGGCTGAACCACCCACCATCCCGCAGCCTGTCCTCACAGGACAAGGGCTCCAACCCCACTGTATTGGTGGGCTCCCCAAACCTCCAGCCAGTTTGTGGGTGTCCTTCCTTTATGGTGCAGATAAAACCAGACAGACACCATCTACTGAAACCAAGACCTCATCTTCATTCAGTTTAACTCCTCCCACATGCTTTAAACAAAACGTTTAACATGCAAAAGCATGTTGTGTTGTTCCCTTTTCTCTATTATCTTTGTTTCATCTGTATATGTTTGTTAACATTTCTTCAAATCCTGTCTGTCTAAAAGCACCAAAGAATTCACGTGCAGCAATCAGTTAGGCAGAAGTTTTGCAGGACTTAATGCACAAAATTTAGTTTTGTAGTGTAATGAATCTGGAATCTTTAGGCAGATTCAGGGGTCTCTGAAGATTGATATAGATCTTTTCTCTTTTGATTCCATCTGCCATTTCCTAGATATTTCCCTCCTTCATCTTTTTTTTTATTTTTCCGGGAGATTGTTCCTTTGAATATTTCATTCCAAGCACCCGTTCTCTCTCTTTGATTGCCCTGGGAGCAGTTTGTCCATACTGTAAGTCCCATGCTCCAAGCAAGGTCTTGTGGGTGATCAAAGTGTGACCTTGAGAGCAAAGGATGAAATGAAAAAAGAAAGGAAGATCATGAATGAGCCAGTGACTGAAGACAAACAGAGGGTTTTTTCATAATGCCTGTATATATGTATGCACAAATTTCATATGTTTGGGAGGGCAGGGAGAAGCCAGAACGTCAAGGAAATGATAGGCTGTTTAGATTCTGGTGTAACCAAGAACTGTTTGATCATGTAATTATAGTCCAACTGCGTGATATTTTCCACCAGAGGAACAGGAAAAAAGAAGTAATACACTAGCATTCTGCAAGTAAAATTAACAGGACAGATTGTGTTTTAGGAAGGATGTTAACTGTGGTGAGAAAACAGGCTTTACACTGATCTTTCAGTAGAAAGAGCAAAATAAATCTGACACAGTCTTTCTAACCTGGAAAAAAGTAATCTGGTTGATGTAGCTCCCCCATGTTGTACTTCCCATGTCTAGCAGTTCAGCAAATGGGAACTGTCAGCAAGCTTCTGTAGTCATCTGTGTGGAAGCCGAGAAAGGTTGAAGGAAAACAAACCAACACCCTCTCTGTGAAGGGGCCTTAAAGCCCTCTGTTTTCATGGTCTTCACTTAGAGAGCTGTGCAACTGTATCATCAGTGAAAATTAATGGGAACTGCAGATGCTTCAGTGACTGGTAAACTGGTGGAAGTAAACTGGAAGAAAGGTAAGGAGATGCCGTTTAGCAGTAATGTTCTTCAGAACTTTCTGATAGATAAAATGGAATATTTAAAGGAGACATAATCCTCAAAGTAAAGATTTTCAAG